ATTTGAAGCGCTTTATTTAGTTGTAGTACAATCACATATTAATCTATCTAGCAGATTCAGCGCTTGCTAGCCTTAGATACTAAAATAAAAGCTACTTTTTATGTCCTATTTTGAGCTTAGCGACAGCGAATCTATGTCAGAAGGGCCCGGGGAGGGATTGTGACGTAAAAGTGCATTCGAATTTCGAAATCTATCCAGCTACAAGGGAAACTATATTCTATTTCTTTGCTATAAGGTTTATTATCATCTGATTGAATATCCGCTTACCTTGATTATGTGTAATTATGTAGGAAGTGGCAAGCGATTATCAAATTTATGTGTTTATTTATAAAGTTTATTTTTAATTTAATGTAATTATTGGTTAGCACGGATCACCATACAAAGGTACTTCGGAATCAGACTCTAGAGACACAGTGTTCAAACACAGTGCTCCAGATAATGAATCACGGACAAAGAAGCTATTGTGTATCGGCCTAGAAAATATTTTGAATTGTTGATTCTTGAACTTGAACTTTACTACTAGGAAATAGAACTCGCTTTCAATTGGTACGACATTAATATTGTTTTTTTTAGAACATTTGACGTTTATGTTTTCCTAGTACATTTGCGCCATTAAAAAAAAGTAGTTGTAATTATTTAGTGCAAAAAATAAAAAAACTCTAGGCCGAAAAAACTTCTATTTTTTAATAAGTAAACAAAAGTCTACACTTTGAAAGGTATCCTAAATAAAATAACTGAAATATATCATTAATTTTAGTACAAAAATAAACGAAAAAACAATATTGAATAAGTTTATTGAATTAATTCATACTATTGTTTTAAATATTTAACAGGTTCCATAATAACAAAAAATTATTCCATTTTACAGTTCGCAACAACAATAAGTAACAAATTAATACATGACAATATAAGCTTTAACACTTGAGGAATAAAGTTGAAAACAGCATAAACATATATTAGAACAAAGTAGTTTACCGTATTATGTTAATGACACACGCTTGATCATCTGGGTCGGGAACGGCCGTGCTGCTCACACGACAGAGACAGCAATACACGTGACACACGTGTTAGACAGAGATCAAGCAATGTTTGTCAACATTGGCGCGCGAATTTAAATTTAGAACTTCCGTGTTTTCTATAGGTGATGGCGTCGTTGCCACATTCGAGGATTGCTTTATCCACTTGAAATTTTACGCAACAAATTACATAAATATATCTAGAACACGTGTTGGTTGATTCGCGAAACTTAGGATTTGTAAAGAAAGTTTATTTTTAAACATATATTGCAAATAACTCCATATTAAAATAGTAAAACGTTTGAGGTACATTTAGTTGAAATTTTCAGAGCGCCCTTGTGATAACGCGATAAGATTTGCAATGCAGTGATAAGACTCTGGGCTATTAGGTCACTAAATTAAAAAAATATGGTTTGTTTTTGTTTTCATTATATGTATAAAAATGTCTAATATAGAAGTTTAATGATAATATTGTAATGTAAATAATAAATTTAAAGTAATTATATACATATATATATATATATTTTATATATATAGAGTGGCACGTGTATATAGTGTGGAGTTCATACTACACTGGTTTGTCATTCTGGTGAGTATTTCAAAAGTCACAGTGTATAAAATATTATAAATTTCCTGTGTTGATTATTTTAACACACTGTGACATTATAATGATTTTGTTTACACTTGACATATCATTAAAATTATCTTTTAAAGTGCGTAGAAAGTTCTGGAAATTGTATATTGATATATATAAGGAAAATTTTAAATAAATTACTATGAGAAATTAACTTTTATTGGTAGTTCCCAAACGGAAAACGGAATTTACTCATAATTCATATACTTAAAGATTTATAATTTGACGAATTATTTCATAATAAAATTTGTTTTAAGGTAAGAAAAATTAATGTATGTATTTTAACTAAAACTAACAAAAAAATATTAATAACTAAGGAAATATATTCAGGGTCGCGGTCAAAGTTGTGGTAATTAACTTGTTACTAGTGGAATTAATAATTATTTTATATATAACCTCATTAGTAATTTACCTAATGATGTCTACAATTTTTTTATCTGTTCGGTAATGTAGTTTGAATATGACATTTCGATTGACAGATGTCAAATTATTTTGACAGTGACTTAAGCTGCGAACAATGACTATAGTTAATTGAATAATTAACTATTAACCTTAATATTCGAATTTGATTGCAATATCAACGAAAAAATTTAAAACGCTCCAAATTTTAACTGTTGCTAGCTCAGACATCTAAAAATAGTTTGATACTTGACAATCAAGCGCTACAGCGACCCAGTTTTCGAATACGCTGGACGCACACCGCTTCAAGCGTAACTAGGGCATAGGGTGCAACGAATGCCGGCCAAGGTTGTACAAAACCACGCCCGATAGCGTTTTCGTTGCAAACAAAAGAATACTTTTAAATTTTACATGTGTTTTATTGTAGTTTATTTGTATTTTAATCGTTAAATCGACGTTTCGTATTAATGTATTTGTCAATGATATGACGTAGGTTTTTCTTAATTTATTCGTAAGCACAAGCACACACTCATTCTGCCAGTGATTGCATAAAATATTTTTAAATAAAATATGTTTATTTATACATATTATATCTGTGACTGATTTTTAAATTAACTTTGAAACATTAAACACTAAATATTTTTCAAATAATTTTCAATATTTTTTTACCGTCAGCAAATACTATCATTGTTTTAAAATTATACATAATAAATAAGTTATAACAAGTTACATAAAAAGGATTTATTATGCGGAAATCAGATATCAGTATCACTTAATAAAAATAAAATATAAATATAGATAGTCTATCTAGAATCTAGATAAAACAATATATATCTTATATATTACATAATTTCGTATCTATATTTAAAAAAAATATTGTAATATAGTATTCAACAATTAGAGCACGATAGCTCAGTTAATAGAAAGACTGTACTAATATTCAAGTCCCAGGTTCGAATCCCGACGGATATTTTTTTTCATTATATAATTTTTAAGTATATTTAAAAGGCTATTTATTAGTAAATGTCATATTTATTACGTTTTCTTAGTTTTTTTTTGCGATTCTCGATTTTTATTGATCAATAAATAAAATTTCGTCCTTGTTATTTTGATACGTATTTTTTATATTGTGCATTTATTTTAATCGATCTTATTTCCTATATTAATTACAATATTTATTGACTATATATATTAATTATTATTATTTTATATTCTTTTATCTTATTTTAGTTCATTATGTAACTTCAATTTGATGTTTTAAAAAGAGGTAATAATATACACGATATTGTTAATTTTTAGGGAAAATTTTTCACTATAACAAAATATCATGATTTACATAATATTACTTGATTTTCATTCTCGTTTTTGTTTCTATAAATTTTAATTAGTCTCATTAAAATGGACTCGGCTTTCACAAATGGTTTGATAAGATTGTCTATCTTTTATCTTGTCTATGACAAACAGACATACTTTTTAAGGTTAAAGGCGACAATTGAACAGACGGCCTACCTAATAGGAGGTAGTTACCGTCGCCCATGGACATCTGAAACATAGTAATGATGATGCTTTGCCACCCAAGAATTCTGATGGTCCAATAACCATTTTTTCAAAGAGAATTACCCTTTGTCTGAATTTAGAGATGTTTCATGTTTGTTGCTCTTCCACTCAAAAATCACTAAACGGATTTTTATGAAACTCTACAGATGTATAGCTTAGATATCAGACAAGGATATATCCTTATTATTATATTATTATTATTATATTATTCCGTTGATAAATTATATCTTATAAGATATAATTTATCAACGGAATTCTGTGTAGATTTAAGGAAAAAGGTCATCAAAATTTTGTTGTGTAAAAAATCCCATGACTCATTTTCGATATTGCTGTCGGTTTTTTACCATATCTATAGTTATGTTTTTTATATTTATCTCTCAGCCGAATTCTGTTATACGAAAAAAGTCGTGGCAAAAAACTAGTCGATAACATAAACAACAAAATGTATTCAATTATTAGTTATTACTAGTTTTTGCCCGCGACTTCGTCCGCGTTAATTTGGTCAAGAGTAATATATGTAGGTATAGCTGACCAGGCAGTGGTGGCCTAGTGGTTAAAGGGCCCGCCTCTCGTTGCAGAGGGCGCGGGTTCGATCCTGGCACGGGCAAGTACCAATGTGATTTTTCCGAGTCATATGTACTTTCTAAGAGTATTTAGACATCACTGATTTATGTTGATTCCCAAAGAGAGGGTTGATGTCAGGCAGGCGGCCGGTCGTAAAAACAAATAGCCAAAACTATTCACAAACATGTAAGGCAGACCCTGGCTATAGCTGGGAAATTGCCAGGTAGAAGAAGAAGCTGACCAGGCAAACTATTCCGTCTTAGAGGCCATAAATAATCAGGTTTTTCCTGTTTCAATCAAACAGAATGATTGACATATTAGTTAGTTGTCAAAGCTAATGCCAAATAAAACGTTTGTATGGGAAATAGAAAAGGACAGTTTTTAGGATTTTCCCGGCAATTATTTCAATTTTTCTCACCTTTTAAACCTTTCCTGGACTTCCAGGAGTATTTCAAGACTAAAATTAGCCAAATCGGTTCAGCCGTTCTCGAGTTTTAGCGAGACTAAGGAACAGCAATCCATTTTTATATATATAGAAGATATTTTTCAAAACAAGTGCTTTCGTTCCATCAAATTATACACACTCATATATACATATATGTATATATATAAGTAAAATTTTATCGTGAAGACCTTTCAAAGTTACGAAAACAAATAAGGAGTAAAACTATTCAATATATATAAAACCAAGTTAAATGAATACCTACTCACCAAATGTAACCTCGTTTTTAACAGTAAATATATTTTATTTTCAAACCACAATGAAGTGAACTAATCAAATAAAACAATTAAATTAATTATAATATAATAGATATTTGTATTGTATGTAGATGCATAGTAATGAGACCCCTCCCCCCGCGGGCACCTCCCTGCTCCTTCAGCTCGGAAGACTGGTGGTGCGAGCTCGGAGCCCTACACAGAGGACGACCGATGAATCAACCAGCCACCAGGTAATCAACTAGCCACTACGTAATCAACTAGCCACTAGGTAATCAACCAGCCACTAGGTAATCAACAAGCCACCAGGTAATCAACCATCCGCCATGCAATTTACCATTCACCAGATAATTTACCAGCCATCAAGTAATCATCTTTCTACTAGGTAATCAACAATCCACTAGATTATTAACATATCACCAGGTAAACCATCCACTATACAATCAAACAACCACCAGGTAATCAAACATCCAGCAGGTAATAAATTCTTTAAACCAACCTAGAGGTAGTTGAAATAAAATTGCTAAGTAACCCTATGAGCTTATAAGATAGAAAGAAATTGAAAAATATTTTGTCTCCGATTTATTTACTTGTAAAGTAATTAATATTTATGGCATATATTCGTCCTTGTTTTTTCAATATTATATTTAACTAGTTGCGCCTCGCGGATTTCCGGGATTTTCGGGATTTCCGGTATGTAAAGTAGCCTATATGTTATTCCTGGACGTCAGCTTTCTGTATACAAAATTTTATCAAAATCGGTTCAGCCGTTTGAGCGTGAAGAAGTAACAAACATACACACACAAACTTTCTCAATTATAATATTAATAGGATAGTAGGATTGTAAGAGGATTCTTTTGGGGCCTGAGTAATTGAGTTTTTTTTATAATATATATAAAGCAATGTCTCTAATAACAAAATCTTCTCGTTCCAGGTGACCACCCAGCCTAAATCAGATGAACCAAAACCGGGAATCGAAGCGCAACTCACCAACCACGTCCAGGCCTTGTGGGACGAACAGATACCTATATGTATCGAGGTAATATGCACTCATATATTTATGGGTCCTATGTATAAGGGCCAATGTAGCAATTAAGCAATTTTATTTATTTTTTGCTTTAAAAACTTCATATTGTATTGTTTTTTTGTGGAAAGACCTAGTTTTTTTGCAGTAACAAGACATAAGTAACATACTTAAATGTATAAGGGCTTATATACATTATTTTAAAAACTAGTAGGTTTACAAAACAGTTTATCAATCTTAAATGTCGTACATGTATGTCATAGTTGCTATGTAAAGTTTCAAAAGCATCAGTTGTAAGTACAAGATACATTGAAAACAAACTTAAAACACCTCTACTGAACAATTGGTATTTTGCGCATTGGTCCTTATACATAGAAGGCATCGATATATGTCTATATTATAATATATATATCTAATATATAAAAATTTCCATATCACAATCTTAGGTACTGTAGTCCTCCGAAACGGCTGTACCAATTTGCACCAAATTTCATATACATATTCAGTAGGTCTGAGAATCGGCTACTATCTATGAATCATACCCCTAAGTCATAAGAATTGTTCCCCAAAAATTTTTGTACGAATTTTTTTATAATGTTTTTTAAAAAATACAACCCTCCTTTTTTTAATACTAGCTGCACCCCGCGGTGTTACCAGCGGATTTCCGGGATGTAAAGTAGCCTATGTGTTATTCCTGGACGTCAGCTTGCTGTATACAAAATTTTATAAAAATCGGTTCATCTGTTAGAGCGTGAAGAAAGAACAAACATACACACACACTCCCAAACTTTCGAAATTATAATATTAGTAGGATGTCAAAACAACGTTTGCCGTGTCATCTAGTATATAACATATGTTCTTATTATATTATTGCAGGTCCTATTGGCTCCAGATTGTCAGGATTGTTATGCAGCCCTAAATCGTACTGATGATGCAGGGTTGTATGAACGACACTCACAGAGGGCGCTGCTGTTGGAGAGATGGACTATACGGACTGTTGCTAACAAGTAAGTTATTGGAGAGAGGAGTTTGGACGGTGGAGGTGAGCGTTTAACGCGTTATATAGGGGTCCCTTAAACCTACACCTGGGTCACTAGTCCCAGTCACTGTTGAAGCTCCTCTCTACAACGATGGACCCGACACACGCACCGTGAATACATGGAATGATGAGAGGTTTCGTCTATATATACACTAGCTTTCCGCCCGCAGCTTCGCCCGCGTGGAGTTCGGTTATATCGCGATTCCAAAAGAACCTTTCAAAAGTCTGGGATAAAAACTACCCTATGTTCTTTCTCAAGGTCAACTCTATTTCTGTACCAAATTTCATTAAAATCAGTTCTGTGGTTTAGGCGTGAAAGCGTAACAGACAGACAGACAGAGTTACTTTTATCGAGTAACAACGGTCGGCGATATTATATTATCACTTACCAATGGAACTAAACAGAAATAGTCAAAATAGTATTCGATAACGTTATCTTAATGGTTTGGGAAAGAGTTGTATTGATAAAACATTGATAACAATATTTATTATATTGTAAGGTATTTATTGTTTAATATATTTATTTTATATAATATTAATTTGAAAATAGATTTTGCAAATAAATTTCAAATCAATTTTAAAACAAATTACAAATCTAACTTTTTATATCCTGACCTTTATTTGACTCTATAATATAAAAAGATATTTCATAAATATAGAAATATAAACTGCAATACATCTTCAAGATGTAAAGTAATTTTTATTTATTATATATTTTTTAAATCAATTATGTCACCTAGAGCACAAATTTAGATCATAATATATGTATAACAACATTAGATCATAATATATAATAGCAGACCCTGGCTAAGGGTGGGAAATTGCCAGGAAGAAGAAGAAGATATAACAACATTATAAGCAACTATTCCTTTAACTATTTATTATATACTAACTAAGATATTTGAATTATTATCTGTATATTGTTTCTTGGTCTAAGTGATTCTAAACACATAACAAGTCTTCTTTAAAAAAAATTATAATAATTAATAACTCTTTTCGTGTTTCCTCCACACTATTAAAGATTATAATTCGTCCCACAAATAAAAACGTTGACATTGTCAAGATATTCAATAAGCATAAAAAATATATTCTCTTTAAAACTAACTATCATGTAATAAAACGTCTTAAAATAATAATTTAATGTTCCCACAGAGATGACTGACACAAAAATTTCCATGTGTTCAGAATAATTATTGCAATATATATATTTATATATTATTTATAATGATGACTTATGATTCTGCTATTTGCAACATTGCACATAGTATATATACATATATATATTTATATAAATAAAATGCTATAATATCTCTTTTGCATACCTTATACCTTACAATTTGGTTGTCAAGGCTTATAAAGGCTTTTACCGTACTACGTTCAATATACGGCTTCATATCTACTTACTATCAGTCTTAATGACGGTCAGGCACTATCAATACATAAAACAATGTATTAATTATTATCATAGTTGCGAGAATCACTCACAAACTGAAGTTTGTGAAGTTTTGGACCAAAAATCATAGTAATTTTAGAAAAGCAGTTGTCCATATATATTTGGTAACATCATAAAAACGATTCTTTTTCATGAAAATGTAATATATTATATATAATAACTAATATCTGTGAATTTGTCTGCTTCTGAGTATAAATTATTTTCTTACTATGTATATTACTACTATATTACAGTTTCTATGGACTTTAATAACTTTTTAAATAAATGTTGCATTTATTTTTGTTATACAACTATCAGTCCAGAAAGAAAACTCATAAAATTGTATTATAATTATCCCCAAAACTGTATTTCTATAATTTTTTGTATGTATTAATGGTCCATATTAAATGTATGGTAATATAGCGAATATATGGGACATTTGATAAGTTTTTTGGTCCAAATATGCTAATGATGTATGGTCCATATATGCTGATGCTGTACTTCCCCACAGGAGCCCCGATCCGACCGCCATCAGTTCCCACTGGTTGTTGTCAGCTGTTCGTTCTCAACTGCACTTCTCCCAATTATCTGCGTGGCGAGCTCGTTTAGAAGATGGCCCCGCAGAGAGAAGGTACGATTATTATACACAGAAAAGATAAATGATTGATTATAAGTCATAATTTAGTATGTGAAAGACAGTTAAGAGCTGGAAAATTAATTCTGATTATGAGTTGCTGACTATTAAATGAGGTTACATAGTAATTAAAATTAATATTATAAAATATATGTTGATAAGTTAATAATTATATATTTGTCTATAAAAAATAGATTTTTTGTAGATTTACAAGAAGATTCTTTGTTTTTGAGCTCGTGTACATTATTGATATATAAATCAAACTTAATCAAAGACAATGTACTGTAATATACATATTTTCCAAAACTTATATTTAGTTAATATTTTGCAGGAGAAAGCTGAGCCGTGAGACATGTAACTTTAAAAAAATAGAAGCAAACTGCGATGAAACAGAACTAGAACGCAAGTTAAACATCGTCTACTCCATAAAAATACCAGGGGATACTTACAAACTGGCTGACTTCAACCGACCACCGAATAGCCATAGATTCCCCGTTACCGGTATAGGGAACAACGTGTTCCTTAAAGTAATACTGGAGAGTCTACCTCGCTTGGACGACATACCCATAGTTAAATGTACCTGCCAAAAAAGACGAACCAGTAAAGAAATACCCACAAACGTCCACGAAGAATTGGTGGGCAAGCTAAATGATCTCACATTAGGACCCAGGAATGTAAAAAATGATGCAACAAACACAAGAAGACATTCAATCAAGTTAGAAGAGAAGAGGATCGTTGATGATAGAATGTTGACGCCGTGCAGCGAGAGCGGCAAACATAAATGCAACTGTGACGACGAATCAGATGATAAGAATCACAGATCTTCCGCTAGTTTAAGCCAACAGGGACCTAAGAAACTTGACGAGAGACGGCTGAAAGAGATAGCTAAATACAAACGACGCTTGAGGAAAGAGAGCAAACTGAAGATGTGTGATAGCACCTCGTCTGAAGGAGAAGGTTTGAAGTCCAAGGAAACACATACGTCCATACCGATCTTACAAGCCGCGAGGTTTGATAGGTTTAGAGCTATCGGCTGTTTTAGGAACCAAATGTATTTGACGCTGCCGGCTAGTAGGATCGAAACTAGGTCGCCTTTCATTGAGACGATAAGCATACCGCAAGCTGAATTCAGACGGACCAATACAGTGGGCACACAGACTGATGACTTCACATGCCAGTGTGGAAACACCCTTACAATGAAATGTACGACATGCTCCGACAGAGGCATGGTCCGCTCTGAAGGCAACTTCAACTTAGCGTCCATAGAGAACGGAGCTAGAAGAAAGTGCGAGGAGGACGAGAAAGTTATGAAAAAGCATAAATGTGATAACCCTAGCAGTAATTCACAGTGTGATATAAGTTTAGATAATATTAGTGATAAGTGCGATATTATAAAGAGACCGAAGCTGAGACGTTATTTCCCTATAGTGGATCGTATTGAGAAGGTCATAAGTGATAGATTCGCGCAAAACAACGACATCAAGGAGCTGAATCTTAGAGATGATGACACGGTGTTCTCTTTACCCAAACCTGAAGCGAAACGCCAGAAAACATACTCCATTAACGAAGATTATGTTCTATATGAGAAATGTGACTACGGAACCTTTGATAAATGTGACCAGGATTCCCCAAAAGACGCGGAGCTCAACGGTTTTAAGTTCCCTGACCCCAAAAAGGGGGGGCAGGACAACCAAGTGCCCTCCCCCACTGAGATGGACCGATTTCGATGGCGTTTCGATTCTGCGGCGTCTATGGTGTTCCATAATAAGACGGGGCTTCCCCTAACTAGCAGTCCCGCGCCGTTAAGGAGAGGCAATAACTGTTTTGACTTTGACGACTCTATTAACGGCGTATCGGGTATTAAAAGGTTGGTTTCATCAGATATTATTTGTATAGTCAATATTCTAAAGATCTTTATAGAATGTATTAAGAAAAACTGCTATATTTCATTATGTAAAACATTTTAGACGTCGATTTAAAAATCAATACTTATATTATTTTACTTTTTCAGAATGATAAAATATCTATAAAATGTCTATTTAACTATATAGATAATGTATTAATCACATCTTTATATATTTCCAGTGCCCTGTTCCACCCTATAAGTCCCCCGTGCGGGCCCCCCGCGTCCCCTGCCGCCCGCACGCCCCCTCCACACAAGCAGGCCCCTCCACACAACAAACTTAGAATGGGGCCTAGTACGGGCCTATTGGGTAAGACTCTTATAGAAAACTATTACATACATAGTTGTTAACTATATACATATATAATGTATAATTGTGAAGAAATTTACTAAATCACTATATAACATTAAAAAAAACTAAAAAAACTGCGCAGCTGTGTACGTTCTTTTGTCGTTTTGTTATCCTAGCCTGCAATAAACTGGACTGTCGGAATCATGCATACCGAACTTTTTAAGAAATTCGTTCTTTTGTTTAAAATTACAAATTGATTACACGCGTCGACGGTATTTGACCATAAGTAGGAGTCTTGTATTACCTATAAGTTAACATAAAAAGTTGCTCACAAAATCTCAAACTGTTAACATGGCTAGTAAAAGAAAATCATTGTGTGTTGACGAAAAAGTTTTACTGATACTAATTCTGATTTTTCTTCTCTCTATTTAACGACAACTCTAACGCCATAAAATGCACAGTCCCTTCAGTGTCGTTATATAGAATTTACACTGTATTATAACATGTATATGCTTACAAAACAATATTATTATTGAGTGGTATGATTAAATATATCTGATGTCCGAGCTGTACTATTAAAGTTTCATCAAATTCCGTTCATTATATTTCATTTCACCTACAAACAAACTTCCATACCATTGCTAGTATTGAAAATAATTAAACAATATTTTATTATACAGGTAGTTTCGAGGAATCTGCCCTCAAGGGTCGTTTGGAGCCTGTAGCGACGGTCCACGGGTTCACGGCGGAGCTGGGGGCCTCGGGGGCCTTTTGTCCCCCTCACAGGAAGTTACCAGTCACTGTGTTCTTCTATGCACCCGGGGGAACTAATGCTCCTTATATGGTGAGGCTTATTATGTGATCGAGAACAACTTCATATACAGGGTGACTGGTGAATTACTATCAATATTTAAGGAGAATACTCGGTACATGATTCTCATTCGAATTATGTAAAAAAAATAGGCACTTAATTTTTGACAAAATTTCCGTATAAATAAATAAAGTGTGGACACGTTCCAAGTGTTCCAAGTGTGGACTGATACAAGCTGATACAACACCACGCCGCCGCACGCATGTGTGTGTGTGTATACCTAATCTGTAGGGTGTTCACACGATGCGTAATTAATTACATAACTTTTGGTTAACTTTACTTAGAAGTCTATTAATATTTATGTTATATTAATTTTTACTTTGTCATATATGATCGTCAAATATCACGTCCTCAAGTATCGATAGTTATTCACTAGTCTCTTTCTATCCTCTACAAACAGCGTTGAACGTTTAATTTATTGGAATTGGAATTGTAATTTATTGGAAGTTGAATTACAAGTTTCACTTCAATAACACACGAATGAGACCTAACTTCTCATTATTCCATGGATTTACCATGTGGGTGATGCGACCATACATAATAATCAAACACAACCATATGAAACCAAAGATAACCGTTTAAAAAAAACAATGACAATAGATGATAATAATCATAGATGACAAAAACAAGACCGAAGATAACTATAACTATAGTTAGCCATCTAATCTATATACCCCAGGGTCACATCAACCTAGGCGCTGGCGGTTACCGCGTATCCCGGTCAGGAACTATCCAAGTCTCCCTATTCAATCCTCACGGCACGCTGGTCAAGATGTTCGTGGTGCTCTACGACCTGACCTGCATGCCAGCAATGACCAGGACCTTCCTGAGGCAGAGGACGCTGTACATGCCGGCCGGGGCGGAGCACCCGCAGCCCCACCTGGTGCACAAGTGGCTTAGATATCTGATACATCTTAGGTTAGTAGCTGGATGTTGTTGGAGTTCGGTTATAACGGACAAGAGAACCTTTTAAAGTCTGGGATAAATATCCTATGTTCTTTCTCAAGGTCAACTCTATGTCTGTACCAAATTTCATTAAAATCAGTTCAGTGGTTTAGGTGTGAAAGCGTAACAAACAGACAGAGTTACTTTCGCATTTATTATATTAGTAGGGATTAGCGAAGGACTTTATATTAAGAGTTATGTTATATGTTACAGGTTCATGACCTCAAAGAGCGGCAAGCTCTACCTCCACACGGACATTCGTATACTAGTGTCAAGAAAAGCCGATTTAGATACAGCGACCGCACACTCGGCTCTGTTCCGCCCGCTGACCAATCCGGGGACAGCTGGCCGTGATGACAGCGAACCGACCAATAAGGGGACAGCGAAAATAACATCCACCAATGGTGACGCTTCGCGGGATACGAAACCATCCAGTGTGACGACATCCGCCAATGGCGTGGCAGATAGCGAGCGTGACGTCACGCCGCCGACCAATCGCACGCCGAACCGCGTTTTCGGCGGCTGCAGTGACTTTGACAGCGAAATCAAGAATGAAATGCGCGATTTCGGTTATGAGAATCAAAACGGTGTTTCATATGAGTTGAGGAGTTTCACTTACGCCCCGGAGAATCCTAAATACTCCCCGCGATAATATTGGGCAAGCTTTATGGACATTGTGTATTTGTTTTTTAGTGCCTGTCGATGTACGTATTAATTTTTGTGTTAAAATATGTATGTACTAATGAGATGAATATATTTTTGGTTTTATAACACTGTCTCTTATTTCTTACTGCTTCAAATAAGACATTCACACATTCAATTATATAGTGGGTGACGTTTGTTAAGTATTCTTTCAAATCGGTTTGATATTTATCAATATAATCGCGTCCAACAAACAGCTAAACAAATAATGCACATTTCATATCATAACAGTCCTATAATAATTAAATTTGCTATCAAAGCTAAGGTTAAAGAGATAGGAGATAAATTAATCTGATACAAATTTGACTTCATGAAAACAATGATATACATATTAATAAATGTTAAGGCTTAAAGATACTTTTAGCGAATATCGTAGAATGTTCTCGAGATTTATCAACAGCGCCATCTCGTGACGAATAGACGAAACTAGTAGCTATACGTTTATTAGAACATTCCAATAATGTTTGTAAACAATTCGAAATATTAATTAGAATGTTCTGGAATGTTCTAGTAATTGAATTTTTGCGTGTAAAAGGTTTCGTCGGTTTTGACTCAGTCTATCGAGAAGCGACATACAAGTTATAGAAACAATTTTATCTGCGATCATAATAAAGTGAATATTTGTGTTTTCTATTAAATATATATCATATTACTAATCAAATCCTAGCTCGTAAAAGTATTAAGTACAATATATTTATAGGTACCTAAGACAATTAGGATGACTAATATATCTTACTAGTATATATAAGATTATAACTTAAAAGAAAAATGTAATGATAATACTTACACGTAGTATCATTTGTATTAAATACTATTTCTATTAATATTTAGTAGACATTAAGTTATTATTAAAATAAAACCTCTTTATTTATCTCAGTGTTTACATAATGTTTGTTTATTAAGCAGGATATAAAATCATCGACGTTTCTGGATGTATATATATATATATGTTTGTTGCTCGTTCACACTAAAACTACTAAACCGATTTTGATGAAATTTGACAATAATGTAAATTAAATATCAGAATAGGACATGAGCAATATATTATGCTGTAATTCCTTGTAGTTACGATAGAACCGAGGCATAACGTTGTGTTTTGTGTGACGTCACGTGACACATTATAGATGTCGCTGTTGAATATCTATTAATTTAGCAATATGTATATTTCTTTCCGAGACTAATTAGGAAATTTCATATATTTTCCATTAGTTTCGATTTGTCTAATGCTGTTAGCCCTAATGGCTGATGGCCCTGATGCGACCGTCCCAAGTGAGCCTCTAAGAGGCCGGATCTATGGCTAAATTATAATCTATCTATATTAAATAGACTTTTGAAGGTTTATTGGTAATAAAGTTACAAATTATTCTCAGACACTGGTATATAGTAAAAAACCAAATAAAAATATAACCAAACATTTATTTGTAATCCATTCATACAATAAATTAACACCATACACAATAAATAAACCGACAAATATAACGAAATATTTAAACTAAACTTAAAACTTAATTAACTCATGACAGTGTTAGGAGGGGTCTAGTTGGGTATGACTGTACGTTGTTCTCTTGACCTCTGTACGGAGAATTTTTGACACCCAATTCACCTTCGTTTTCCTGTTTAAAAAATATATTATATTAAAAATAGTAATATTTAATTGGGTGATTATTGCTAAGTGAAAACATATTGCATTGATCCATGTACCAAAATATATTTATAATTCTTTATATATGTATATTCTGGCTAATTAATTATTTAAATGTTGGACCGATTTTCACGGAATTTATTTGCAACATAGGCTTTTATTTAAGAAGCGTCATTTACTATATTAATTTTCATTGATATAAAAAATAAAATATATAAGGTCGTGGTGGCCTAGTGGTTAAAGATCCGCTTTTCATACATGAGGTACTGGCAAGTACCAATATGATTATTACGAGTCATATGTACTTTCTAAGAGTATTTAGACACCACTGACAGATGAAGGAAAACATCGTGAGGAAACCTGGACTTATATCAAATTATAAGTTTGAAATCACCAACCCGTTAAGCAAGCGTGGTGATTAATGCTCAAACCTTCTCCATGTGAGAAGAGGCAGCTCAGCAGTGGGCTCTGATAGGCTGATGATGGTTCGTTCCTATCTAATTATTACTATAGTATTTATTATTCTCTACCTCTGGTTCTATACTCCTGGACCAAGGACCCCATCCTGGTTCCTCCTCGTGTTCATAGTGATGCTGATGCTGAGCGTGTTCATAGTAGATCACCTGATAATAATCATTATATTTGATAAGAATTATTATCAATATATGTATATATAAGTAATTGTATAATATATGATATATGTTATTAGTTAATACCTACATGTGAAAGTTTACTAAGTAGAATATTTGTAGAACAATTATATTATATACATGGGTAATTTTAGTTTGAGTCTTTAGTAAGTAATAATATTCATATTCTTTTTATAGTCAATTTTAATTCACACTATACTGAATAGTTTTTTATGTTTAATACGTAAAATGTCGACTCAAAAAAGTGGTAAGCTTAACCAATAGATTCTTACGTATAAAAAAGTATATATGTATATTTTTATGTACATTACGTACTGAATATTGAATCCATATTTATTTACTGATCTTTAAGAATTACGCAATATGATAAATAAATGAATTAAAACAAAAAGACTTAATAAGACTTGTTTTTCTCAACGCGTTACCTTGAAAGACAAATGTATGAAAGTGGAATGCCTTCAAAGTTGTTATATAATATATATATATATATAAGTAAATAACTATACATACTTAAATATAGAGTAGTGTTTAATTAGAGTTCGTCTTGTTAACCTAAATACCGAAAGTTTCAAGGTGTAGCTGTCACGAAAAAAGGTTTTTTAGGTCAAATTAAAAGTAACATTACCATTTTAAATAGATTTAAAATAATGTCAATGTTATACTACTTCATTTTAATTTTCGTAGAAGATAAAATCGAGGTAAATTTTAAGATGAAGTTGGGACAAAAACATGTTTTAATGATGAAAAATATTGATTTGGAAATGAGAAATACTTTCTGTTTCTTTAGACTTTTGCGAGTATTCATTTATATACGGGTAACTTTACGGGTTACTATGGGTAACCGAAACGTCGGTAGTATGTAGATTAAAATAATTAAAAACGCGTAGTAAGTGAAAATATTGGTTATATTTAAATTAATCACAAATGGATACTTAAATATCTACATTAACGAATTTAAGTTGACTCTAAACGTATAGTTATACGTTTTTCATTAAGTATATTAAATATACTATTAATTATTAGTTTGTCTTGAAACTAATAGTAAGTTTATCTATACGAAATATAAGTAAATACAGTCCATTCACAGAATCACGATATTATTCGGTAGAAATTTCCGCCAGAGAAAGTAACAAACAATCGCATCGTCATCTTAAATTGCGAAATCTCATCTCATGTTGCAAATTTCGTGTCTTTAAAATAACTCGAAAGTGACGAGTTGGTACCAAAAATTCTGTCATTCAAACAATTTTCCTACATTCATTGTAATTTACACCTTAACTAGTTTTTCAACCCGGTTCCACTTGGCACTACTTGTCAGTCAAATTCAAAAATTATTTACATTATTCATAAAATTCATATTTTTGGGTAGTTGAATTTCAATGATGACTATTGTTAGGTATTGTTTTATAGATTTTAATAATGTGTGTGTGTGTGTGTGTGTGTGTGTGTGTGTGCGTGTGTGTGTAATTACTCTAAGGCCTTAAAACAACAGGTGATTTCCGCGTCGAGGTCACTTTCTCTCACCTTAAGCGACCCTGTAACCTTAATATGCCTCATTATAGGTTACATCGGCTTTCATTCAAGATAATAATAAATTTTATGTTTATGTACCACATGTTATTTATTTTAAAAGCATATGCATACAGGGTGACTGGTGAATTACTATCAGTATTTAAGGAGAATACTCGGTACATGATTCTCATTCGAATTATGTAAAAAAATAGGTACTTAATTTTTGACCAAATTTCCGTATAAATAAATAAAGTGCGGACACGTTCCAAGTGTTCCAAGTGTGGACGCGTGCGGCGGCGTGCTGATACAACACTACGCCCCCGCTGCGTGTGTGTGAGTGTGTGTGTATACCTAATCTGTAGGGTGTTCACACGATGCGTAATTAATTACATAACTTTTGGTTAACTTTACTTAGAAGTTTATTAATATTTATGTTATATTAATTTTTATTTTGTCATATATGATCGTCAAATATCACGTCCTCAAATATCGATAGTAATTCACCAGTCACCCTGTTTAAATAGGCTATTTGAAAGGTAATAAAACTTGTATAAACGAAATTTTAGTAATATTTTAATGAATATAATGTATATAGTCAGTTGTTATTTCATTTAATTCAAGGTTTTTTTAGATTAATGAAAATGTATGTAAATGGTGATTGTATAATAACTTTGTCCCGATTCTTGTATTATCTAAAAGATGGAATTTATATAATGGGCAAAGGCACAGTTTTTTCGTAGTTTTATTACTCATATACAGAATTTGAGATCTACTTATTGAGTAACTCCCAATAATAATATATTTAAAGCTTCTTTTGTTTATAACTTCGGTCAATTTTCGGTCCTTTTTTTTCATGTCATCTAAAGTGAAATGAAATATTACGTAGTAATGATGCATGACAATTTGAAAGTAAAAAAAATGTTTGAATTACTTTTTAACGCTGAACTGTTTGTTTACTTAAAGTTTTTTATGTAAATATATACGAATGAAGTATATATAGAATATATATATATATATATATATATATATATATATATATATATATATATATATATATATATATATATAAAGTTTCTATTTATTGAGAGCGTCCGACGTCCACACGTATTTACTCGTATACCTCGTTATACTTTTAACTGTCAGTCTGTCTGTTTTTCACTTACCATTAGTTTCTATCGACAAAACTGTACGTACAGAGTTAGTTACATTTAAAAACTACTACACCATATGTTAAAACGTATTAACTAGTAATTTTGAGTATTTATTTTAGGTAGATTGTGTAAATTAACGATGAAGGCACCTATATGATTTTAACTTTTAAATTATGTTTTTAACTAAACTACGAAACTTAACTATTAAAATTGACCTTTAATCCACTTTATAACTATATTTAATTTATTACAAATATTCGTTAGTATTTTGTTTTTAACAAGCAATTATAAAATTATATCTTTCTTTTTTCCTATGAATTTATCTTTAAACTTATCTTTTAGTTACCTTTTGTGGTTGTTGTTGGTGTTTATTCTTTAGCTCGACCCAGAACCTCGCGAGGTTAATTCCAAGACCGATGAGAGCGATTATAAAGAACTTCACCTGAAATTACGATTATGATATTAATATTCCAGCTGGCACCAAAAAAGTAATCTAGTAAGAAAATATTAAATATTATTTATAGAATATCCTATGTTTTTTCGGAGTCATATGTACTTTCTGAGTATTTAGACACCACTGACATACGGTGAAGGAAAACATCGTGAGGAAACCTGGACTTATAGTTTCACAATTATAAGTTTGAAATCACCAACCCGTCTTGAGCAAGTGTAGTGATTAATGCTCAAACCTTCTCCATGTGAGAAGAGGCAGCTCAGCAGTGGGCTCTGATAGGCTGATGATGATTATCATATAAATATTAATATTTTAGATACATTAACCAACCTGTAGTTTAAATGATAATATTTGAAGTAATGTTCCGATTTTCGCTTTCAACACAGCTCCAAGAATAAGAAGCTTCAAGATCGCCTTCTTCTTTTTCTTCTTTTTGCCTCTTTGTTCTAGAAGATTATCGAAAGATTCAGAATAAATACATATAACTTTCTCCATAGAATTACTCTATTTAATAAGCGCTTGTTACAAGTAAATATATAGACTGACTTTATTTAAATACTAAGACTAATATTTCACAGTCAAAGAAAGTGGTGTACTAACAATATATTTAATTTATGTTATACTAGTTTTTTCCCGCGACTTCGTCGTTAATTTCTTCATTAGTAATATATGTATAGCTGACCAGGCGAACTCTATTCCGACCTAGAGGATATAAATAACAAGATATTGGAATTTATTAAGTATTGTTTTTCGATCGGACAGAATTAAATATCCTATGTTCGTCTCCTTGTTCTAATCTATCTCTCCACCAATTTTCATCAACCCGTACAGTCGTTCTTGAGTTATAAATAGTGTAACTAACACGACTTTCTTTTATTTTATGATAATTTTTAGCACCTATAATACTAACAATTTGTATAAATATGCAAAAACTATTTTTATTTTACCTAAATGAGGAAAAAAATAATATTAAAATTTCAATGTAATAAAAACTGAATTATTAACTTCTCATAGACAACGTCAGTTCCAATCGCGTGACAGTCATAAATATAAATGTACCAATTACAATTAAATTGCTACTTTTATAATGATTTCATTGTTATAATAATTATAGTTATAATTAAAAAAAACTAGATTTTAAATTAACTTTATTACAACGGAAATAATTAATGAAATCTTTCGTGAAGACATAGCCTTATTCGATATTGTGAAATTGCCCTATCAAAAATAACATATACATATATATTCTTCTTAAAACATGATTTTGGAATCTTTATTGAACGAAACACTAGTATGATGAGGAAGGTCTTGAAAATATTTAAATCCAATATATATTGTAATTTTATTTTCATGTATATTTAATGAATGCTAAAATATACTAAATAAGAAATTTAGGTATAGTTGTACTAAAATATGTAAGGCTGTATGTCACTATTTTCATTTTATTTCACGTTATTTATTAAAATAAGAGAAATTAAACTATTAATTGAATATAACCGCCTGGGTTACTTTGACTGTGAAATATTGTCTTAAAAGCGACATTACTATACTTAGATACTACTACCTTTCCGCCCGCGTGGAGTTCGGTTATATCACGTTTCCATGAAAACCTTTTAAAAGTCTGGGATAAAAACTATCCTATGTTTTTTCTCAAGGTCAACTCTATGTCTGTACCAAATTTCATTAAAATCAGTTCAGTGGTTTAGTCGTGAAAGCGTAACAGACAAACAGAGTTACTTTCGCATTTATAATATTAGTAGGGATGACTTTACTTCAACGAACTACTCTTTGGATCATGTACAAACCTTCAATTGAACTTCTATCTACAAGACCGTTTTCTTCATTGTCACTCTCAATAGCATGATCAGCTACAACATCTAATGCTTTTTCACCCAAATCCCAGACATCACCCAAAAATCCTCTCCCATTCCTAAAACTAACACTTCTCTCATTCTTCTGGCCTTGGTCCTTCAGTGTCTTCTCAATTCTCTTCTTGCTGTCCATTTTTACGCTGATGCTGTCACGTTTAGACAGCGCTCTGTAAATAAATGTTACTCATTAATATCGTGAATAGATCGTAAAAATTTATGGGTGAGATCTTATATGTAGGTCGGTCTGAATGGTGGTGGGAACTATTTTATGGTAAACTGAAGGAGGGAAATGATGGGAGAATATGAACTTTGTTTATGATGTGTAGTCATGCGAAGATTATGTTCCATTCCTTATTCTTATACTAGCTATTATCCGCGACTCCGTCTGCGTAAAAAAAAAATAAATAATGAAAAAACTTGTATTTGAACTTCGTTAGCTTGATAAAAGTAGCCTAAGTTATTTCATACTACATCATACGAGTACAAATAAAAAACCCGTCAAAATCGATCCTACCATTTCAAATATAAGCCGGAACAAAAAGACAGACGGATAAAAATTCATAAAAATGATATTTTTGGTGTATGTACCATCTTCTTCTTCTACCTGGCAATTTCAATTTACCTTGATGTATGTACCATATATGTACATATATGTCTGTAGTAAAAAAGTCGGTTATTTCAATATTACAAACAGACCCACAGATTTTAATTATATATATGTATAACTTAGTACGAATTTTGTTTTTAATATACGTACGTTATAAAAAGTTAAAAGTAAGTAATGAATTTCGAGTAAGCGTATATAAGTATGTAGATGTCTCAAAACAACTAATACGAGTATGTAAGCCTTTGTTGGACATCGAATAAGAGTATTAAAGAAACAGTTATATTGACTATTCTATATAATTAAACATATATATATAATGTTTTTGTTTCCTTATACAATATATTTTTGACCTGGCTTTGTTCGTTAAATAAAAATTTTGTTAAATCTATAAGCATATAAAGTATAAACCCATCGTTCAAAGTTTGGACTAAAGTAGAGGATTGAACGCAATTAATTTTGAAGGATTTTTTTTTAGTTCTTTTTGTATCTTTTTATTAAAAAAAATATTTCATCATCATCATCAGTCTATCAGAGCCCACTGCTGAGCAAAGGCATCTTCCCACATGGAGAAGGTTTGAGCATTAATCACAACTCTTGCTCAAAACGGGTTGACGATTTCAGACTTATAATTTGAAATTATAAGTCCAGGTTTCCTCACGATGTTTTCCTTCATCTGTCAATGATGTCTAAATATTCTTAGAAAGTACATATGACTCTAAAAATCACATTAGTACTTGCCAGGTTTCGAATCCGCGCCCTCGTGCATGAGAGGTGGGCCTTTAACCACTAGGCCACCACGACCTTGTATATTTATGAAGTTCGATAGTTTTAACTCATTATTAAAAAAGTTAACCCAAATAATGATAGTAGTATTATATTATAACTATAGTTTAAATTTTAACCTCGATTTACAAAGCGTTAAACTAGAAAGTGTATAATATGTAAACATTTTCTTCACAAACGGAAAGTTAGTCAAATGTTGATTTTACGTATTTGGTTTAGTTTAACGGGCAGTTTAGCTTTAATTTGAAGAGTAAGGTCTATATTAAAGAAATTTAACATAATTTGAAGTTAAAATTGAGATTTGAAAACTATTTTTTCCAATACTTTGTTTCTTTTGAGTTATAAGTAGTATTTTCAAGAAAAGGGCGAATAGGTAATACTGAGAGTAAAAATTTACAATGATTTTTATAATAAATTTATATTATTTTTTTCATTGACTATTTATTCTTATTATTAAATTCTATTAGTATATTTCATATATTATTTAGATAAGTCACACAATATTTATGTAATCATAAACGTTACTTTCAAAATGTCAGTATTAACGTTTGATATTTAAACTCGTATCACTGAATTTTAGATAAATATAAAAAATAACAATTTCTAATAACTTGTTTGTAGCATGTATAAAATAATTTGATACTATTGAAGTATCGTTAAAAATTGTCAATCCTCTTTGAGACGAAACCTCTCATCATTCCATGTATTCACGGTGCGTGTGTCGGGTCCATCGTTGTAGTGAGAGGAACTTCAACAGTGACTGGGACTTGTGACCCAGGTGTTGGTTTAAGGGTCCCTAACTAACGCGTTAAACGCTCACCTCCACCGTCCAAGCTCCTCTCTCTATCAAATTTGAAAAGAACCCACTAGGGCTGCCTTCATACGTTTCAAGAATGTATTAATGTGAGTTCTGGACAAGCAAAACTTTCACTTAAATGGTAATATGATCTGAATGTTTACCACCAGTTCTCATAGTCACGCTACATACAGATGCATTTCCTGTTACATATTCAATGATCTAGTTTACTGAGTACGTGATTCATGAGCATTAGACACCACTGATATATGAAGGAAAACATCGTAAGGAAACATGGACTTATAATCAAATTATAAGTTTGAAATCACCAACCCGTTGAGCAAGCGTGATGATTAATGCTCAAACCTTCTCCATGTGAAGAGGCCTTTGCTCAGCAGTGGGCTCTGATAGGCTGATAGTAAGTAATTTTGGGTAAATATAATTCTTACCAAAACTTTATTTTGACAAAGTAAATACCAAAAAAAATCGAGTTAAAATTAGGGTTGGTTTATAAATTTAAACTATAAGTTTTTAGTTTACGATAAAAACACACGTTTAGGCTTACTACGTGTGCTGTCATTTGAATTTATACCAACGACTGTCTCAGTTTAAATATGTACGTACAAATAACTTTTTTTACTTTCTCACAGAAGTCAGTATTGAAAATAAATATCGCTGTTTCTCAAACCTTTGTAACTTCCAAATAATATTTTTTATTTATTTTACATTATTTTTATATTATTTTATGTATAATCAAAATCAGTTTTACTGTCTCATTGACTGTTTTTCTTTTGTTTTTAATCCATCGATATTGTTTTCACTATAGGTGAAAATGTAGTTTGAAGTATTCTACTATCGTAACATATTTTAATATAATATATATAAATATTTTATATGAAAGATATGTTTGTTCGTCTTCTTCTACCTGACAATTTAACAGCTTAAGCCAGGGTTCTGCCTTACATGTTGTGAATAGTTTTAGCTAATTGTTTTTACGACCGGCCGCCTGCCTGACATCAACCCTCTTTGGGAATGCATTAATCAGTGATGTCTAAATACTCTTAAAAAGTATATATGACTCGGAAAAATCACATCGGTACTTGCCTGGATCGAACTCGCGCCCTCATGAGAGGCGTGCCTTTTAACCACTAGGCCACCACTGACTAAACTATCAATATAACATATGTTTTAAGATTAATATATTAGTATTAACTAAATAAATATAGTTTCTTTATTAAAATAATAGTTTTATGTATACAAATATCTTTACCGGCACCTATCTTTTCGTTGGCTTGTATCTTAATATGCAAAGGACACAATTTCTCCAACCCACAGTTGTAAAGTGAAAAGGTGAAACTAGTCTAACTTTCGACAAAGAAAACGATATTACAAGTTATTTAATTAATATACATATATTATGTATTAAAATATATGTAATATTTTAGTGTATATGTTTAAATTAAATTATGTTTTTAATACTATGCGTTTTTTATTATTTTTTCGGTCTCGTTACGAACACGAGATGAAAAACTACACTATCATATTAAGTTTCATTTAAAAACTATTTATTTGATATGAATTCAATAAAAATGTTTGAATTAATGAGAATTAAGACTTCACATCTCGTCTTAATGATCACGGTTGCTGTAAAGTAACCGAAACGTCGGGAGTGTGTAGTTTATAATCAAAAATGAAGACGCGTAGTAAATCCGAAAATTTTAGTTTCATTTAAATGTTGGGATTTTTATGAATAATTATAATTTTTTTAATATATAAATTTTGACGAAGTAAATTATATATACATATATCGGTGTCAACTAAATTCGAAAACTGTTAATATATGTTTGTTGGGATGTTATATGAGTCAGCTATATTACACGAGCGAAGCCGGGGAGAACAGGTAGTATAAGATGTAATACCTAAAATGTGGTTAATAATAATTTGGACTTTTCCATGATTCATAAGCTAATTGGCAAATAAACCTATGTACATCAATCTTTGAATTCCAAAAATAAAGTACTTAAACTTTGTATATGTGTGGTTTATAAAAAACTATTTGTAATATACAGGGTGACTGGTGAATTACTATCAATATTTAAGGAGAATACTCGGTATATGATTCTCATTCGAATTATGTAAAAAATATAGGCACTTAATTTTTGACAAAATTTCCGTATAAATAAATAAAGTGTTGACACGTTCCAAGTGTTCCAAGTGTGGACGCGTGCGGCGGCGTGCTGATACAACACCACGCCCCGCTCGCTTATGTGTGAGTGTGAGTGTATACCTAATCTGTAGGGTGTTCATACGATGCGTAATTAATTACATAACTTTTGGTTAACTTTACTTAGAAGTTTATTAATATTTATGTAATATTAATTTTTATTTTGTCATATATGATCGTCAAATATCACGTCCTCAAGTATCGATAGTAATTCACCAGTCACCCTGTATATTATTTATAAATTTGTTTATTATTTTATTCTATGCTAGTTATTGTCCTCGACTTCGTCCGCGTTAATTTCTTCATTAGTAATATACATATGTATAGCTGACCGGGCGACCTATATTTACGACATAAATAACAAGATATTGTAATTTATTAAGTTTGTTTTTAATTATCATTCGAACATAATTAAATATGCTATGTCCGTCTCCTTGTTCTAATCTATCTCTCCACCAATTTTCATCAACCCGTACAGTCGTTCTTGAGTTATAAATAGTGTAACTAACACGACTTTCTTGTATATATATAGTTAATATATTAAGTATTTTATTTATTACCTAGCCATGGAGTGTTGTAGGAGGTCCCCTGCTGATATCAAAGCACCCTCGATCTCCTGGCCAAGTTTCGAAGGCATCTCTTCAAACGACCGCCCTGATGAAGACACTTCATTATCGGCTTCCTCTGTTGATGAAGAAAGACGTTTATGTTACAGTTATGGAGATTTAATAGATATTATATATACATATGTATATACATAATAACTGGTCATGTATATATACAGGGTGACTGGTGAATTACTATCGATACTTGAGGACGTGATATTTGACGATCATATATGACAAAATAAAAATTAATATAACATAAATATTAATAAACTTCTAAGTAAAGTTAACCAAAACTTATGTAATATATAATAAATAAACTCTATTGAAAAAACACAATGCTTACATAATAGATTAGCATATGACACAATTAATCTTCTTAAACTTAACTTATATTATTACAATGTTTTCCATTGGTTGAGGTGCATTATGGTTATTTAAAATTTTGATTATCTTTGGACCCCACACTAGGAGGGGCCCTTCTTTAAAGGGTAAATTTTTTAAACCGATAATACTATTCCGTATAATGACTTAATACATATAACTGAAAACTACTCGGTTTTAGTATAATTATGAAAACTAGTCTTAAAGTTATACATACTCTTATATTTTATTTACTATCTTCAATTATTTTGAATTTAGCTTACAATAAAACTAAAGAAATAAATATTAAAAATCTTTTTGGAGGTTCATTGGCCTTTTTAATAATTTTGTCATCTTTCTACGGGAAGAGCGAAATTTTTCAATATTAAATTTAATTTACAACTAAAAAGAATTATAATTATATGAATTTTACTTATTATTATTAGTAATCTTGAAGTCAAAATGCTTGTAGGGAAGATACGAGTATTTCGCAAAATATGTATAAAGAAAATGTATGTATATATTAAAATAAAATATATAAAAAATTAATAACCCTCATATACATATAATATAATTATATAGTTTAATAAATGCTAAATGGCATTATTTAAACAATGCTTAACTCACACTGCATTTACTTACTTAATTTTTTAAGATAAAAGATAGAACATTATAACGATTATAAAAGATAAGACATTATAACAATTTAGATACAAGCGGATTCCTTAAAAAGAAATCTTTAATACTTTCTCTTGAATAAAACTTTGTATATACATCATATACATACTATCTATATAGATATATGTATAGATTAATAAAAATATATGTATATATATATAAAAGTTTATATAACTCAAAAACTAAATAGATATATCATCACAAACAAATTAATACAATACTTATTGAACTAGTAGGTACATAAAGAATCATTCCTACTACGGTATTTAGTCCTCATTTCAATACTTGTATAGAATTTATTAAACCGTTCCATTTACTGTATGTAAAACGGCTTTTATACTGCGACTCTGCCCGTTAGTTTACCAATATATATCGCTAGATATATATATATATATATATATATATATACATATATATATTAATATATTATATTCCTTATATCTTTTATCTTATAAAGTATATATTATATATAATTATTAATTCATTTCGTCTTTTATCACTACATTATAATTGTAAAAAATATTAATTTTAACGATATTTTTTGTGGTAAAATGAGACTGAAATTCTTTCATATATATACAAAAATATTCATATTTTTAAGATTTATATACATTAAAAATTATTAAATAAATGGTACTATGGTTTTGGGATATAACATTTTTATTGTATTATTGAGTAAATTAAGAAATTGTTTCTTATAAAAATGAAAAATATATATGTATGTAGTAGAAAATATATCATAGTATCATAATAAGTCCAAGGAGCGTCGTTAATTTCTTGCGTTCGATCAAATAAGACCATGTGTGGACGATTTATTCGTCTTCATTTGACATATTTGCACAAATAACAAACATAAACAAATAAACGAAAACGTAAAGACTTGTTGTTTGCATGCCAAGTGTGGATGTCGTGTTTGCGGTGTTTGGACTACATACAAATATTTGGACAAATGTGGCGAATATGCTAAGTGAAGTGCCACCTTAAGATAATGCTGTGTGGTTGTATAATGAAGTTATTTATAGTAACCAATAAGAATGATTAATTTAAATATATAATATATGAGAAAATAATGAGATCTTTGTTATATATACAGGGTGACTGGTGAATTACTATCAATATTTAAGGAGCATACTCGGTACATGATTCTCATTCGAATTATGTAAAAAAAATAGGTACTTAATTTTTGACAAAATTTCCGTATAAATAAATAAAGTGTTGATACGTTCCAAGTGTTCCAAGTGTGGAAGCGTGCGGCGGCGTGCTGATACAAAACCACGCCCCCGCCGCGTATGTGTGAGTGTGTGTGTATACCTAATCTGTAGGGTGTTCATACGATGCGTAATTAATTACACAACTTTTGGTTAACTTTACTTAGAAGTTTATTAATATTTATGTTATATTAATTTTTATTTTGTCATATATGATCGTCAAATATCACGTCCTCAAATATCGATAGTAATTCACCAGTCACCCTGTATATATATAAAATATATATAGTTTAGTTTTTTTTTTTTTTTTTGTTATCGCGGTGAAAGGTTTTATACCTACCCCTCCGTCTAGGGGAGACAGAGGCGGTTATGTGGGATTCACGGCCAGAAGGGCCCATGTTACCCACTAAAACACCAGCGGTCACTCTCCGTTGCCGCCAAGTGGATCGCCACGGGAAACGCCGAAGCATGCATCCGCGACGATCCGGCGGCGGGCCGCGAACGGCCACCTCCCCCCCCGAGGGCTCACTCCAAGTGACCAGGAGTGTCCCCCCGCCTGGCGGGCTTGCTTAATCGCGAGAGGGTTAACCCCTTACCCCTCCCACCCAAGCCCACGCGGCCAGTCTCCAACCACCCACCGACGAGCGCAAGCGCCCGACGGCAGACAGAGAGGAAACCGACCGACCACAAGCGAACTCAGGCCTCCGGAGAGACCCGAGTATCCCCCCCCCCCCAAGACAGCCACGGACGGCCTCCTGCCAGATCCGTGACCGTCTTACTCCCAGGGCTGTACCCCCAGCCCTCCCCCCCGTGACTGATTGCACCGGAATACACCAGTGGGCGATGGGGTCGTCACGTCCCGACGCCGGACTGCGCCGACAGTGGCCGAGGCCACCCGCCAACACGTAGGGCCGAACTTGGCAGCGGCGGTGTACACCGCCGAGCCTCGTCCTACCCACCTCCATGGGCTGCACCCTCAGCCCGGGCCAAGACCCCATGAGGAGGTCAAGGCCCTTCCCCCCCGTGACTAATTGCACCGGAATACACCGGTGGGCGATGGGGTCGTCACGTCCCGACGCCGGGATATATAGCTTAGTTAGTTTAACTTAGTTTAATATATACATATATATATATTAAACTAAGGCTTCATTCACAATGGAATCTATATTATGCTAATGTGAACATTTGTAAATTAAGTATATTGAATTTGTTATATTTGTCGACTGACTGATAATTATTTAAAATGTGACTAAAGAAGAGTATATTAAAAAGCTTGTCTCCAGAGTGAATAAAGCCTTAGCATAAAAAATATATTAATAAATCTAGTTGGTAGGTTTTAATAATTTTTCAACACCTTTTCGTAATTTTCTTATTTTTTTTTTGTACAATAATTGTATTATAAACGAATAATTCAAAAATTTCTCAAGTTATAAGGTGAAGAGGAAATTTTGTTTTTTTTTATTTTACACGAAAACTACAACAATACGAGTGAACGGTTTTTACGTCAAAAAACACTTAGTAATACATTATACAACAGATAACTAACTTTTTCGTCATATTATATGAGAAATCATTAATAAATTTGAAAATTGATATTAAATTTAATTTATTTTCTTCTTAAAATTACTGATAATTACTTAATATATATATTATTAAAAAAATCTAATAGTAATTCCCGTGTATATATATTATAACAAATAACTGTTTTATTACTTATATGTAACAGAACCTCCTTTTTCGTGTCTGATCAATATAAATCGTGACATAATTAATTTAATCATCTTAGCGTGTTGGTTATAAAATATTTGGTAATTATATTAATGTGTTTTCACTTATATACAAATGGTATTTTAACTTTCTTTTAAACCGATTAGTGTTGGCCCACATACGAAATTATCGGTCATCGGTTATAGCTTTTACATCGGTTTTATATTTTAAATATCGCATGACCTCATAAAGCCTTTATTAACGGTTATATATATATATATATATATATATATATATATATATATATATATATATATATATATATATATATATATATATATATATATATATATTGCTTTTAATATATTTTTTACTACTTTATATCTTTAATCCTGAAGTAGGTAAATTCTTTTATTATATTTTAATAATAAATTTTAATTTTTTGATAATATTGACGATTGATCGAAAAAGTATTTGAGATGTAGATACATACGAATGGAGAAACAAAAATTTGTTTAATTTATATTGGTTAAATTTAATTATTTTTAAATACAAGAATTTTAATATTTGTATTGATTTTTAGTTACAAAAATAGATTTTATATATAATTCTTTATAACTACAGATAATATTAAACTTAGAACAATTTTTTATATAATTGTATTTTAAAACATAATTTTCAATGAGTTTTCAATCAGTCAACATGTTTACAAATTAAGAAAAAATTTTTCTCTAACAAATATAATTCATACGATAATAATACTTAATACATATAATTTAAGCGTCATTATAGCTTGTACTATTTACTTGTATGATTATTTTTCAAATTAAAGCGGTTACGGCCGTTGAGCAGAAATTTTCTATCCATCACCGTTATTTAAACGGTTTAATAAGCAAATTATTACTTATAATAACTATACGTGCGACCAACCGAGCTTTAGAATGATCAATTTGGAAGAAATATAGGAAGAAATCTATATTGGCATAATTTTTTTTAATAAATGTCACCTTGACATATATATTTTATTTTAATTTTTAAATCTGACACTTATTTACAAAAAAGGATTTAATGTTTGTCAAGAAATAACATAATTTAATTTATATAAAATGTTAGTATATTATGTAGTGGTATTTAAATGTATAATATTTTTTTATCTATTCTAATTTTGAATATATAAAAAAGTCTCAAAAAAAAAAACTATATAACCAATTTACATTTATTTTAATATTCATAGCTATAACTATAAATAATAATTATACATATATGTAAGCTTAACTTTCTTTTTTTTTCGGGTCGTTTTTAATTTGCTTTCACCTTTTGCTTTGTAATTTATTGCATTCATATATACAGGGTGACTGGTGAATTACTATCAATATTTAAGGAGCATATACCTAATCTGTAGGGTGTTCACACGATGCGTAATGAATTACATAACTTTTGGTTAACTTTACTTAGAAGTTTATTAATATTTATGTTATATTAATTTTTATTTTGTCATATATGATCGTCAAATATCACGTCCTCAAATATCGATAGTAATTCACCAGTCACCCTGTATATAATGTCGGCTGAATGATAAATACCTTGCCACGACCTCCTTTGTCTGTTGACCTCCTCGTCCCAGCTGTCGAGAATTTTTCCCGCCTTTTCCCTCGCACACAACCAAGCGTCATCCTCACCAAAACAGTTCAAAATGGACATCAAACTGGGCGCTACATTTTTACTTAAACCCTTAAAATACTCATACGATCTCTCAATTAAACTGTCACTGCGTACATTACTGATGTATAACATGAATATTATCAAGAATATCTTCTTGGACGCCATTTTGACGTCTGTGTCAAAATGTCAAATGTCAAATGTCACAAGTCATAAGTTCGCGCGCGTTTTTTTTTTAATACAACGTGCGTACGCTTTCACGTTCAAGGCTGAACTAGCGGCTGCTGGGGAAGACATCTTTATACATACTACTTTCTTTTATCCAGTTTATTTCAAAGGCGTCGTGCACACTTAATTACGGACTTATTATAATAATAATTACGCTTTTTAAATGTTTTCTATGTATATGCCCATGGTTTAGGGACGTGTGTGATAAATTTTTGTTTTGTTAAGTTACTTGTATGAGAGTGACAGATTGATGTAATATGTTTTAAGTGTACTAAAACTTTTCTTTATATCTATGTATTTTATGATAATAAAAATACTATTAATTATATAAAACCTCTTTGTCATATTAATTGATATATTAAAATATTATTAAAGAGAATCATAGCTTCTTCTATTACATAAATAAAATATTGTTGTTTTATATCAAAATGTCGATTTAAAATATACATATTGTGTACGGAACCTTGTTTTTTAAATGAAATATTCAATCGTTTAGTATGAATTAGTTACGTTCGCTAAGATTTAATTCTAATCAATTTTCTATGTACACACTTTCATTCAATATTGGCAAATGGTTTTACTATTTCCCATGGTAGTTACTTGTATGGCAACTATAGCGACACCATTTTGTAACGGGGTGAAAAGGGATGTTATTTGTAGTGGGGTGAATAGGGATTTTATTTGTAGTGGGGTGAATAGGGATTTTATTTGTAGTGGGGTGAATAGGGATTTCATTTCGGGAGCGTTGAATTTAAAAATTATTTACCAAAAAATATATATTATTGTTAATAAATTACTTTCTTTTACTATACTATAAATTCTATTAGATTTTATATAAATTTTATGACTAATATTAACAAGTGTTTTATGTAAATTGGTCATTGCTAGTAAAATGGTGTTAGAAAATTTTATATCTAGTTGTAGTAATAAATTGATATAAAATCGTACTTTCTAGAAGATATAACAGATTTTTATCTTAAAAATGCTTTTCTATTTAGAATAATTACAGTAATATATGTATAAACGATATAGTTTAGAATCATTTAAATATGAGATTGTGTATTTAAATCTTGTATGAAATTAATTAATTGTGAATTCTAACGACATAGACAAAATTTATACATAATAAATTACGATTTCAGTGCATTAAAGGATAAGAAAAAATTTCAAAACAAAATGATAATGCTTTGAGAATTATTTTTATGAAAGAATTAACAAATAACACATAATTGTTTGAAATTTATCCGGTTTTTTACGTGTTTGTAAGTTGTGGGTCATTTGTTTTAAAACATTATTAGCATTTCATGATGACTTTCGCTTTTCTTATAGGATTCCGTTGTAGAAAGCAGCGCCCCGACATTTTTGGTGACATGTACGTATGTAGGTGAAACTTTGTTTCCTTTGAGAATATTAACAAAGTGAATATATTTGTATGTGTATATATTTTTAAGTATACATTAAGTAATATTTTATAAGATAATTTTGGAAAAGGATGTTGAATTTAGCACAGTTACATTTGTAAGAAAGAAAGGGTATTGACTTATTTTTTTATAATTAATCAGAAATACTTTAAATTATTCAACATAATACATATCTTCTATATATTTTGTTATGTATTAGTAATACTTGTTCAGTATTGTTATTATATGATGTCAAGTATAATGTAGGTAGATAACTTTATTATAATAGTTGCTGTCATTCAGTTTGTTACTTAGACATACATACATGACGAATTTTATATAGTTTTATTAAAGACAACACTTTGACATAATATATACATATAATACATCAATCTTTGAATATTCCTAAACGTGTCTGTCACTAAATGTCAAACAAAATGATATTTATATTGTAGTAACGAAGTTGAAATAATCAATTATATATATATATATATATATATATAAGTATATAAAATATAAGTATAGATAACATATATGTACATCAATTGTTATATATAAATTGAATTGATTATGTACAATTCATTAAGGTTTACACACTATATATTATGTATTTTTTGTAAAATAGAATCGACTTCATTTTTTTTATGTCAAAGATGGCAAACTAGCAGACGGCCTACTTGATGGGCAGTAGTGACCGTCGCCCATGGACATCCACAACATAGATGTTACGGATGCGTTACCAACCTTAGTTGTGGAGGAAAAGGGAGGAGTGGGAATTGGGAAATAGCAGGAAAGAGAGGGAACAGGGAAAGGGCAACCGTCTCTCTCACTCATCGGACGAAACGCAGCCATTAAAGACTACTTCACACCGATCTTCTGTGAGAGGGTGGTGCTTACGGTCGAGACAGAACATGTTCGAGCTGTAGTAACTGACCACAGCTAGGCTCTACCACCTACAGATCATTGTCCTATGTTCTGTTTTTCCTTTGACATCCTGTCCAGAATGAGAGCGATAGAATCTATGTTCTTCGTCAGATTATCACATGTTGAATTTCTTTTAAACAATCAGTGCGTACACCCGGAACAGGCGCAGGCACTACTCAATGCCCTGTCACTGACAGATCCGGCATACACCGACATAGCGGCCGATGGCTTTCGCAGTGGTTTTAGTGAGTAGGGGCCTGCCCAGGTCGGGTCTCACACATCCCTTCCGGCCCCACCAAGGCCGGTTGGACGGCTCGTAAAAAGAATTTCCCTGCGACATCAAAAAAAAAATTCACTCCTGACAGTTATAGTGACGTCGATAGCTAACGAAACAATTTTAATTTAAAGCATCCAAAAAGCTTCACAGGTTGCCAATTAACAAAACGAATGACTTGAGGTTGTTATCAATTACTATCTCTAACATATATGTATATATATACATATATATAAGGATAACATACGCACAATGCTATATACCTATCGGACTTACTATCTTGACTCTATGCTTTTGACAATACTAAAGTTATATAAAATACTTTTACTTTTCCATCCCATCACCTCGATGTATATATACTTACATATATTTACAATATGAAATTATTGAATCCAAATTCAGATCAAACTTACAACAGTACGCTTACCATAAGTTCGCATCGTCACTACATACGCAGCGTTAACAGTTTTTAATTCAAAAACTATCACATATTAACGTAAGCTATAGAATGAGACGCGGAGTCACTCGTGTGTAGTGTATAAACTAAGAGTAAGCATATTGTTTTTTTCGTGTTATTCTGTGAAGTCATCAATGTGCAACTGTGTAATAAACCTATTATAGTATTGTTAGCGTCTGGTGTGAAAAATAACAGTTGTTCACTATATCCGCGTTTTATAACACGAATTTTGACATTTACATTTAAGTAGTAACATTTACAGTTAGTTTCGAAAATTAATAATAGATGGCGCTGTACATAAAATTGAATCTTGTTTAATAATGAGGTAGCTTTTAGCCAATTAAAATATTATGAGAATTAATGTGAGAACGAATCAGGAAATCCTGTTTGACTTCATAAAGATAAACAAGTATAAATGCTCTTATTATTTATACCTACTTCTCTGGTATGTAATTTACATGGAAAAATATTATACAATACTCATTTAAATTCCTACTAATATTATAAATGCGAAAGTAACTCTGTCTGTTACGCTTTCAAGCCTAAACCACTGAACTGATTTTAATGAAATTTGGTACAGAGATAGAGTTGACGTTGAGAAAGAACATAGGATAGTTTTTATCTCAAACTTTTGAAAGGTTCTCTTGGAAACGCCATATAACCGAACTCCACGCGGGCGAAGCTGCGGGCGGAAAGCTAGTTATATATATTTTCACATATTTAGAAGTAAGGAATACCTGTTATGATAGAATTGAATTAATAACATATTAAATGACACACCAAAGGCCAATGAACAAGGTTAATGATTTTTAGACTGTCGTGATGACGAAATATGTTCAAAAGGTTTATTGAAGTTTTATGTATACTTTATTTGTTACGAGATTTTAAACTCTGATTTACAATACATTAAGTTCAATTTAAAGTGTATAAATCTTAGTATAAGTTTTATTAATTTCATTATACCTAACTTAAGTATAAAAATCACTTTGTCTCAAGTTTAAAAAGACGTAATTGTAGGCATATATATATATATATATATATATATATATATATATATTTGTTATTCATAAACTACCGAACAAAACGTATTTTTCGCAATTATTAGTAGAAATAGATGTTATCTAAATTCATGAATAGACATAGATATTGTAATTATTCAAGATGTTTATGTATTTTATAATTGAATTAAGTTTTTACGTCTCGAATAATAAACGCTAACTTCTTGTTGTTCGAAATGATGAGTGTTATTACGAAGATTAACTTCAAATAAATATTATTTAACTGATATATTAATAAAAATAACTATAATTATTATATTTTTAATTGATCATACTAGTACTTCATGTTATTTATAAAGAGGGTTGATGTCAGGCAGGCGGCCGGTCGTAAAAACAATTAGCCAAAACTATTCACAACATGTAAGGCAGACCCTGGCTAAAGCTGGGACATTGACAGGTAGAAGAAGATAGTAGTACTTCATGTTAGTCGCTTCGTTTTTTATCTATATTTTATTTTATAGTATATTTTTTTTTATTCAAATGTGTATATATGTGTACTTAAGGATGAGGAAGTCTTAAGTGTTGGCATTTTTGGCAGGATTGGATACATTTATATTTCAAATATTGCGTTTAAATTTATCATCGGACACTTTTTCTGTGTGTAATTCTGACTTTAAATCTATTTTAAGTAACTCTTCTCTAATATCTTCTTTGTCTGACATCTTAAAAAGACTTCACTGAGATTGATTATAATAACTCAAAGAAAAATTATTAAGAAACGTCTTTATTCTATTCGACAAACTCCTTTGTGTTTCCTTCACACAGTAAACAAGATAATAAATCGACATTGACATAATATTACACGATCCCAATCCAAATGAAGCTTT